AAAGGGCGTGGCCAAAAGAAAAGGACTTGTAGACAAATCTCCGCCCACCTTTTCTTAATGGTTTAAACCCCAAGCTTGCGAGGGGCAGTCAGTCAGGTAAATGTAAAGTGTAAAATAATCATGTAAAATGTCTTTTATATGGCACCAAGCCCTTTGAGGCTCGGCTAAATTCAGAATCTTATGTGACATGTCCATAGTGCGTGCTATGGCTTAAAACAGCTCACAAAACTGGCGCTTTAAGGAAAAGTGGTGATTGAACGATGTGTTAAAGTCATCAGAGAGTGAATAAATAAACTGATGATGTTCAACATTCTTACTGCTCTGTTGATGGAGTAGCTGACGCAGGTGTTTTCATCTCTCAGCTTCAGGGTCTGACTGAACATACTTTGACTTGCTTGACTCGTCACATTAAGTGTGCATGTGATGTTCAATGCTGAGCTCACTGGCCCTGAAAAAAGTCACATTAAATAAATACACATTAATCTGAATTTTTAAAAAACAGTTTTAATGTCCCACATTTGTCCGCTCATCACGACAAACTTACCTGCTTTGCTCTTTGTTGCTTCGACCTTTTCAAAGCATGCCGTTATTTTAACCAAAGCTACATTTTTATCTGGACTCAGGGCATCAAGGTTCTCAGGGTGAAAAGACAGACGAGCCAAGACGTTGAAGACCGGCTTGGATCTGAAAGGAAGCGAATGAACTTAAATAGATTGTCGCTTCTTCTGTCGCTTAGCTTCTTTTATAGGTGCAGTGTTCATATAATATTCACCTGAATACAACAGCTGCACCACGTGATTCAACCACAACACCCGGGAGTCCATCCTCCCCGAGGTCCCCAAAGATGGCCCTTCCAAAGAATTTCAGCCCATGGTCGATATTTTTTCCCATGATTCTCTGAAATAAGAAGATATTAGAGCCGAGTCTAAATACCTCTTTCAGATGACATTACATGTCTGTGTGCTCTCATAAGTGTAAGTCTGATAATATTATCATGCTGCAGATAATTAAACTTCAATGCAAATGCACAGAGGATTTTGAGAGTGTACGAACACAACTCCATAAGCACAGACAAAAAAGAGAAAAGGCTCTGCACGTCGTTCAGTCGTTATTCTACAATATTTTGACTTGAATACATTTAGGCTGGCAGGTTGTGGAGTCTGACAGAGAAACAGAGATTCTACATGTTCTAAACCCACCATTTGAACTAGTGTTGGACACAAAGTTCTTTGGGCAGGTTGTCATATCTTTGAAGTTATATTACAGCATTACTAAAACAATCAAGAGGCAAGCATGGAGGGGCAACAGTGTTGTGCAGATCCATCGTTTGTGCCTCAGTTCTCTGATGGTTTATAAGATTTGAAGGTTATAGAAATAATTTTCCTCCTGAATCTTTGATAATAACGTAAGTAATAAAGGTCTTTTAAAGGCTTTTTT